CTCCTTCTTTAGACGTTTTTGGACAGAGGTTGGATGGCCATCTGTCAGGGATTCTTGAGCTGGGATTCCTGCATTGTGGGGGGTTGGACAAGAAGTTCCTATGATTTATCCCAAACAGTCATGGCTTCCCCCAAAGAATCTTGGGATACTGTAGTTTACCCCTCACAGAGCTATAATTTCTAGCATCATTTAAACTACAGTTTGTTGTAAATAAAAATATGCCCTTTTTCCCTTATGGGGTATCCAAGAGGCCAACCAGAGAATATTGAGAAGCAAAGTAGCTAGTAAGCTTGATCTTCATTGATCTGTTGCAACAGGGTGCTCCCCTCACACGCAGGAAAGGAGGAGGACCCAGAAAAATGGTGTGCCAGGCCTTATAAAGACTTTTGAAATTGCCCTCCTATAGATCAAGACCACCCCCAGAAACATCATACATACATCACAGAAGGGGTGTAACCTAAGACCACCCCTCAGATACATCCCACCTACATCACAGAAATTTTAATATTGTTTTTCTCTTGTTTATCTCCTGTCTAGCAGGTTACTTGACTGGATTGCTTGAGGAGCCTGGCCAGTCTTTTGTAATGATAAATACTTAGTTCCTGGCCAGGTCACAGGCTCACACCCTATTCAAACAGACATATCCTTAAGACAGGATTTGTGAGGAAAGAGACAATGGGGAGACTTTTCCAGTTTGACCTTGCAGAGAAAACATTTGCTCAGTTTAGGAATCAAAATGGTTCCAGGTTGGCCTTCCTGTGCTGATCTATGTATGTGCTTGGTTGGTACACTTATGAACATTACCATATATCTAAGACCATAAAATTCCTATTACAAGTTCTCCTCATTATTTGGCAAAATGTGCTTTAAATGTATGGCGTGGATATGACTGTAGCTAGTGAAGGAGACAAAAGTCTTGAGTTTTCGCAGGTGGGACATGGTGTTAGCATTTGGGGAAACTGGTGCTGCATGCTCAGACCTAGACCCAAACCTGTATTTGTAAATGAGCAAATGTCAAAAACATGGTGAGAGTCTTACGCCACCTTAAAGACTAAACTGTTTGTATGTTTACTATAACAAGCCAACATGGCTAGAATTTGTCAACAGGAAAACAGTTTCAAAACCAGACGTGTCTGAAGCTCAGTTAGTCTCAGAAGTATTTTGGGTTTTTTGTTGCAACTTTGGAAGGTTGCATCTGCTTTTGTTAATACAGCCCTGGCCTCCAATTCACAGAGGCTCCAAAGGGAACCCCCATGAGCTACAAAGAGAACAATACAACCAGCCGTGTGAACTTTTCTTTGGCCAGCCCTCAATCCAATCAAACAGCTGTTGCTGGGGCTGCTGCTGATCCTGTTTTTCAGCTTATTGGTGGCTTAGTCAGCTGTTCAGGCAGCTACTTCCTTTCGGGCATAAACAAAAAGGAGGCAAGAGGAAATGGCTTCTGCATGAATAAGAGGAGTAGAAGATTCTGGATCCTGTTGTAAATAAAAATATGCTCTTTTCCCTTATGGGATATCCAAGAGCCCATATAGAGTCCTTACATAGGTTCCCTATTGGTAGGAGAAAATAGCAGAGGCCAACCAGAGACTATTGAGAAGCAAAGCAGCTAGTAAGCTTGATCTTTATTGATCTGTTGCAACAGGGTGCTCCCTCACACGCAGGAGAGGAGGAGGACCCAGAAAGATGGTGTGCAAGGGCTTATAAAGACTTTTGAAATTCCCATTCTCTAGATCAAGACCACCCCCAGAAACATCATACATACATCACGTGAGGGGTGTAACCTAAGACCACCCCTCGGATACATCACAGAAAAGGTGGCCTTAAAACAGAAATTTCAATATTGTTTTTCTCTTGTCCTTGTTTATTTCTTGTCTGGCAGGTTACTTGATTGTATTGCCTGAGGAGCCTGGCCAGTCTTTTGTAATGATAAGGCTCACACCCTTATTCAAATACAGATAGGTAGCCGTGTTGGTCTGCCATAGTCAAAACAAAAAAAATTCCTTCCAGTAGCACCTTAAAGATCAACTAAGTTAGTTCTTGGTATGAGCTTTCGTGTGCATGCACACTTCTTCAGATACACTGAAACAGAAGTTGCCAGACCCTTCTATATAGTGAGAAGGTGGGGAGGGGTATTACTCAGAAGGGTGGTGGGAAAGGGTGATTGGCAGATAGCTGTGATGAGCCTGTTGACGACTCTTAACGACTGCAATAGGTCTTACAGGAAAAAGCAAGGGGTGAGAAGGTGAAAAATGGCTTTGTCATGTATAATGAGATAAGAATCCAATGTCTTTGTTCAGACCAGGTCTCTCCATGGTTTTAAGTTTGGTAATAAGTTGCAATTCAGCAGCTTCTCTTTCCAGTCTATTTCTGAAATTCCTTTGTAGTAAAACAGCTACTTTGAGATCTTGTATAGAATGTCCTGGGAGATTGAAGTGTTCTCCTACTGGTTTCTCTGTCTTGTGATTCTTGATGTCAGATTTATGTCCGTTTATTCTTTGGCGTAAGGTTTGGCCTGTTTGTCCAATATAGAGAGCTGAAGGACACTGTTCATTTTTTTTTGCTTTGACCCTTATTCAAACACAGACATACCCTTAAGACAGGATTTGTGAAGGAAGAGACAATTGGGAGGTTTTTCCATTTTGACCTTGCAGAGAAAACATTTGGTCAGTTTAGGAATCAAAATGGTTCCAGATTGGTCTTCCTGTGCTGATCTATGTATGTGTGGTTATGAACATTACCATATATCTAAGACCATAAAATTCCTATCACAATCTAGACTCCGTTCTTCATGTCTGAGTCTTACACGTGTGCAGCAACATGAAATGGTTTAAATCGGAGCCCCTCATTTTCAGGAGATAGAAGATCCTTCTAGGATCAGAACAGAGGCCCATCTAGTCCAGAATCCTGTTTTCATAGCAGCCAATGCCAACCTAAGCACAGAAGCAGGGGATGAACACAACAGCGTTCCCTGTTTGTGACTTGCAACAAATTATATTGAAAGGCGCACTGCCTCCAATAGCGGAAGCAGTCCATAGGTGTTGTGGCTGGAAGCTTTCAATAGCCTTACAGGTAAAGGTAAAGGGACCCCTGACCATTAGGTCCAGTCGTGACCGACTCTGGGGTTGTGGCGCTCATTGCGCTTTATTGGCCGAGGGAGCCGGCGTACAGCTTCCGGGTCATGTGGCCAGCATGACTAAGCTGCTTCTGGCGAACCAGAGCAGCGCACGGAAACGCCGTTTACCTTCCTTCCAGAGCGATACTTGCACTTTGACGTGCTTTCGGACTGCTAGCTTGGCAGGAGCTAGGACAGAGCAACGGGAGCTCACGCCGTCATGGGGATTCAAACCGCTGACCTTCTGATTGGCAAGTCCAAGGCTCTGTGGTTTAGACCACAGTGCCACCCGCGTCAATAGCCTTATCCTCCATTAATACGTCTAATCCTCTGGCAAAGTCATCCATGTTGGTGGCAATCGCTGCATCTTATGGAGTCAAATTCTGTAGTTTGAACTGTGCACTGCGTTTCTGTCCTCAATCTTCCTCCGACATTCAGCTTCCATCGGCTGGCCCTGAGAGTGGGAGAGAAACTTATCTCTGTCACTCAAATTACAAACAGGAAAATTAGCTTTTGAATGCCTGTTCCCGCAACTAGAAATGTAGGGTGCCAGGGACATAAAAACATAAGGAAGAACCCTGCGGCTTAAACCAAATGCCAATCTAGTTTAGCACACTGTTTCCTCAGTGGTCCAAGTCACCTATGGGAAGCCCACAATCAGGAGAAGAGCATAATGATATTTTGCTGTTTGTCATTCCGGGAGAGAAAGAGTACTGGACTCAGCACAACTCAGTAGACAGTAGTGCTGGTTTTTTGTTGGCATGGAGTTTTTACAGAAGGGAAGAATTCAAAAACATGATCTCAACCCACATGATCTCTGAATAAAAACATGATCTCAACCCCATGATCTCTGAAAAAAGGATCAGCAGTAGTCCCAGCAACAGCTGTTTGATTGGATTGAGGGCTGGCCAAAGAAAAGTTCACATGTAGCCTAACACTCATTGCATGAAAGGAAAAAGGAACTGGGAAGGAGGAGGAAAAGCAAAGCACTGGAGCAAGTGACAGATGGATGAGGGCCTTCACTTGGCTTATGGTGGAGGCCAGATTTGTCTCAACCCTTGCTATAGTTTTCCTGGGGGGGAGAGGAGGTGCAGCAGAATACGATATTCGTGTGAACCTATATTCACAACTGTGACTGGAGAAAGGAATGAATTTTGAACTTTGCGTTGGAAGCGGGGGGGGGGGGAGAGATGTCCCCTCAACTACTCCCTCCTTCCTCTCGCGCTTTTCCTTGAGGGACGACGGAGATGGTGGAGAGGCCCGTCTTTTTCCTGTGTCTTTTTTCCTCCACAAACCTGCAAGGAAGGTTGGGCTGAGGCCATGGGCCTAGTGGGGGCATGGCTGAGGGATGAATTATTTGGCCCAACCTTGCCCCTCCAAAAGTGATCAGACTCTTGTGCTACTGACATTCAGGCGTAAGTTTATGTATATAGTTTTAATTTTATCAGTGTGAATTTTTTTAAATGAACTGATTTTTCTGTTTTTGGCAGTTTTTTTTTAATCTGTAAATTGCCTTGAGTCCCGTCAGGGGAAAAGGCAGGGTATAAATAAATATGTAATAACAAGAACAATATTATTATATACAGTATTCATTGCAAACCATTCCAGGCTTGCGAAAAACAACCCACTCCGGGTTTTTGCCTCAGCTCCTTCCTCACACATTGTTTCTTTGCCCCTCCCCCAACCGCCAATAATCACTTATTGCGGCTGAGGCGGTTTTATCCTTCCGCGTTGCCCGTTAAAAAAACCCCCGACAAAGGCGGGGTCAAAGCTCCTGACGTCACCTCTGTTGCTTCCCCCCTTCAGCATACGGTTTGACAGAGCGCACGCGCGGGCGGGGCGGAAAAATAGTCCTTACGTCAGCTGGCTGGTGGGCTTTTTTTCTTTTGGCGGAGTGATCTTATTGCTCAGCGAAAACCTATATAAAAGGAGGTCGCGGGCAGCTGCGCAGCTAGAACAAATCGCCTCTCCTCGCCTGGAATTTGCTGTCTGCTTGGACCGGCTCGAGCTCTGCGGTGAGATATTTCTCGTTGGGAAATAGGGCTCATTTCTCTCCTTTTTCCTCTGCCGCGTTAAAGCTGCCTTCAGGCTAGGAGGAAGGGCTGTTTTCTGAAGGGTGTTTGGGCTCGTGAGGGATACTTTGGGAGGGAGGAGGGCGTGGTTTGGCGGGGCGGGAAGGGAATCCGGTTGGTACTTGAGGAGTCATCAGCCTTTAAGCGAGGGGCACAATATGGTCCTCAAGAGTTGCTGTCATTTCGACGTGTACGCATGCCAGTTCGGGTACGAATTGGCCCAAAAAGCCTAAAGGCGCCGCGGTCCAAAATGGCCGCCTCGAGGAAGAGACGAAAAACAACACGGCGAAGGCCGTTAACGCGCCTGCGCTTGTGACGCAGCCATGCACTGTGACGTCACGTAGCCAGGCGTCGGCTAGGGGTGCGCGCGCATCCTTGCTCTCTTTCTGCCTTGTTGGTCTGAAGGGGGCGGAGCTCGTTGCCATTGGCAAGCGGAGTTGGTATTGTTTGGTCAGTGGGTTGATTGCTGGCTTCTTGTTTTAAGTCGGGGCATCTTAAATAAAGTGGGACTTTTTCCAAATCTGAATTGTGCTGCTTCTCCCCCCCCCCTTGCAGAGAAAATGCAGATCTTTGTGAAGACCTTGACGGGCAAGACCATCACCTTGGAGGTGGAGCCAAGTGACACCATTGAGAACGTCAAGGCCAAGATTCAGGACAAAGAAGGCATTCCCCCTGACCAGCAGAGGCTGATCTTTGCTGGCAAGCAGCTGGAAGATGGCCGCACCCTGTCTGACTACAACATCCAGAAGGAGTCCACCCTCCACCTTGTGCTGCGCCTGAGGGGAGGCATGCAGATCTTTGTGAAGACCTTGACAGGGAAGACCATCACCTTGGAGGTGGAGCCAAGTGACACCATTGAGAACGTCAAGGCCAAGATTCAGGACAAAGAAGGCATTCCCCCTGACCAGCAGAGGCTGATCTTTGCTGGCAAGCAGCTGGAAGATGGCCGCACCCTGTCTGACTACAACATCCAGAAGGAGTCCACCCTCCACCTTGTGCTGCGCCTGAGGGGAGGCATGCAGATCTTTGTGAAGACCTTGACAGGGAAGACCATCACCTTGGAGGTGGAGCCAAGTGACACCATTGAGAATGTCAAGGCCAAGATTCAGGACAAAGAAGGCATTCCCCCTGACCAGCAGAGGCTGATCTTCGCTGGCAAGCAGCTGGAAGACGGCCGCACCCTGTCTGACTACAACATCCAGAAGGAGTCCACCCTCCACCTTGTGCTGCGCCTGAGGGGAGGCATGCAGATCTTTGTGAAGACCTTGACAGGGAAGACCATCACCTTGGAGGTGGAGCCAAGTGACACCATTGAGAACGTCAAGGCCAAGATTCAAGACAAAGAAGGCATTCCCCCTGACCAGCAGAGGCTGATCTTCGCTGGCAAGCAGCTGGAAGACGGCCGCACCCTGTCTGACTACAACATCCAGAAGGAGTCCACCCTCCACCTTGTGCTGCGCCTGAGGGGAGGCATGCAGATCTTTGTGAAGACCTTGACAGGGAAGACCATCACCTTGGAGGTGGAGCCAAGTGACACCATTGAGAACGTCAAGGCCAAGATTCAAGACAAAGAAGGCATTCCCCCTGACCAGCAGAGGCTGATCTTTGCTGGCAAGCAGCTGGAAGATGGCCGCACCCTGTCTGACTACAACATCCAGAAGGAGTCCACCCTCCACCTTGTGCTGCGCCTGAGGGGAGGCATGCAGATCTTTGTGAAGACCTTGACAGGGAAGACCATCACCTTGGAGGTGGAGCCAAGTGACACCATTGAGAACGTCAAGGCCAAGATTCAAGACAAAGAAGGCATTCCCCCTGACCAGCAGAGGCTGATCTTTGCTGGCAAGCAGCTGGAAGATGGCCGCACCCTGTCTGACTACAACATCCAGAAGGAGTCCACCTTGCACCTGGTTCTACGTTTAAGGGGTGGCATTTAAACTTGCTACTTACAACCACCCAAGTAAACCTCACTGCACTTTGTTTCATTAAAGCTGTTGCATTCCCAAATGTACTTGTTTCATCATTTTAGGTGGTTGGTGATTTAGCATCAGTATGTTTCGGGGGGTGTTTGTGCTGAATTGAACAATATCTGGCAAATACTTGGCCGGCGGCCATAATTGTTTGAGTATCATGTCGACAAACTTTAACTTACATAATTGCCTTAAGCCAGAAGCTAAGGCAGCCTCAGCAAATGAGATTACATTGCTGAAGTCATACATGCAAGCATTAAGAGTTCACTAATGACTGAAAGGCGAGAGGAGCACTGCTTATGTGGAGTGGTTTTATTTCAGCCAAACTGGAGAACTGTTGACCGGTAAATTGAATTTGAGATTCAGTGCTATTGAAGCAGGCAGTGGTTCTTGGCACTTAACAGCTATCGGCTCCTATGGTGGGATTGCAAATAACTGGTGTAAACTGGGAAACAATTGGAGTCAATCTCTTGTTAAATTACGGTTGTGGTTAGTTCAACTCTAACCCTGCCTCAGTGGAAGTAAATTGGAAGCTGGCCTTTGGGGAAATGCCCCAAACTTGTATTTCAGTCTATTTAATAAACAGCAGTGACACAATAGGTTTTTCCTCCACTTAGCTGAACGGTTCAGCTCAAGTACCTTAAATTGCAATCTTGAGGCACTAGCTCAAAGTGGAGCATCTTTTATTCCAGTTGGTAGGTTCTCATGCCCTTGTTCGTCACCTGTGCACTACATATGTCTCTAATCCATTTAGCTAACTTTTATGAGCTTAATAGTGCAGTAAAGTAAGCTAATCCAGGAAAGCTGGTTCATATGCCTGTCTGGGAACTCTATAAAATGGCTCCAAGGAGGTACAGAAACTGTGAAAGCTGAATATGGTGCCTTATGACCCAAAGCAAGAGAATTTGGCCTTGGAAATAATACCAGGTGAAATGTTAGAAGCTCTCAAGTTGACAAGTTTTTATTGGTTTGGAGTCTCTAAGCCACTTGGGTAGCAGGGGGGAAACTTTCCAAAGCAAGTTTGCTTACCACTTAAAGTTACACTATTTTCAAATACTTTTTCTTGGATATCTGGATATACTTGTTATAACTGACACTCTGCAGCTTCCTGACAGCATATAGGAGTGTCAGGATGCAGTAGAGGTCTTGCTATCAGAACTCTGACAAATCGCAAGTTACCTATGGTCATTGTAGAGTTTTCCTGCAGTTGTCCCACCCAGGAGCTCTTGCTACAGTCAGAATTGTAGAGTTGGAAGGGATCCCAGGATCATTCTAGTCCAATGCAGGAATCTCAACTAACTAGATCATAAATGACAGATGGCCATCCAATCTAAGTTCTTACTGAAATTTGGTCAGAATCTCCTGCACCACAGGATCAACATTTGATACCTCATGAGCAGTCCAAATTTTGTTCCTGGCCTGAAATACTGAATACAGCAATGAAAATCATTTGTCTTGCATTTGGCTCTGTGTGTTTAGGTGCTAACATCTCACAGGCCAATTCTTTCCTGTGCTGGAAAATAGCTCTTTGGTAATGTGGGTTGTTGAGCTCTAATAGGTTTGACAGTAATCTGCAGGTAAAACCTTTTAACAAGTGTTGTGTTAAGCATACATTCAATGGTGTAAAGGTAAAGGGGACCCTTGACCATTAGGTCCAGTCGTGGCCGACTGGTGTTGCGGTGCTCATCTCGCTTTATTGGCCGAGGGAGCCAGCGTACAGCTTCTGGGTCATGTGGCCAGCATGACTAAGCCGCTTCTGGCAAACCAGAGCAGCGCACAGAAACAGTTTACCTTCCCACTGGAGTGGTACCTATTTATCTACTTGCACTTTGACGTGCTTTCAAACTGCTAGGTTGTCAGGAGCAGGGACCAAGGAATGGGAGCTCACCCCGTCGCGGGGATTCAAACCGCCGACCTGATCGGCAACCCCTAGGCTCTGTGGTTTAACCCACAGCGCCACCCGCGTCCCTCTATTCAATGGTGTACAGCTCCATTAAAACACTATACAAAGTGGCTTACAACAACAAAATCAGAAAAAAATACTTTAAAAGGGGATCCTGGTTGGTTCAGTGTCTCCCAGGGAGCTTTATGTGGAGGGAGGAATTGAACCCTGGTGTCCCTGGTCCTATTCCAAGCACAACACTAATCAGTGGAGGAGTTAATGCACCAATCACACAATATTTGAGACTTGCCAAAGATGGCAGCAACAGCTTGCAGAAAGTGCCCAAAGAGTGAGGTAATGGGTATGTGAGGATCCTTGACTGGCCTGTGTTCTTGATTCCTCTGGCTTGCAACACAAGGTCGCTTGTCAGAGGCCACCTAAAGTTTAGCAGCTTAAAGTTACTGCTAAGCCCTTTTTTACTGCAAATCTCCCATGAATCTACCAATGGATAATACGGCTGTGATAAGGCTCTTTCAAGCTTTATATGTCAATCCTAGTATCATGTGAGCTTGAAACCTTTAGACATTGCAGCCAGTCAAGTGAATGAAATCTTAACCAGTAATGGTGGTAGCTGAGTTAATTTGTGCTTTCAGAAGGACCAATGAAAAAATGTGTTGCTTAACAGGCTCAAGGGTAAACTGCATTTAAGAGATAAAAGTGATAATAGCCCCTGGAACATCATAAAAGGTAACCAAGATGTTACAAGCTTTGCAAGCTACATTAAGATGACCCAGAAAGTTCAGCTGATGTAAAGGAAGCCAATTCCCTCTTGATTATATTAGGAGTTCTACAAACACTGTGTTGCTCAATTCAAGGTGCTGGTTTTAACACTAAAGCAGGCATAGGCAAACTCTGCTCCAAATGTTTTGGAGCTACAACTCCCATCACCTCTGACCACTGGCCTTGTTAGCTAGGGATGATGGGAATTGTAGTCCCAAAACATCTGGAGGGCCGAGTTTGCCTATGTCTGCTCTAAAGCCTTTTGTGGCCTGTGACTAGGATCGAGAGCTAAAGCCCTCCGAATTTAGAAACACTTCATTTGATTCCATTTATAAATACCTTTAAAGTGATTTAAAATATACAGGTACTAAAAAAGTAACATTTTCAAATGTAATAAGGATAACATTTGGATAGCCAAATAAAAGGCTTGTTGAAATTTTATTAAATACTGTATGTATACTGCCCTTCATATATCACAACATAAAAATACAAAATGAGAATACAAAATACATAATAAATAAAAACAAATCAATCGCCCTCCCACAAAGACATTTGAAAGGCCACAGAATTTTAAATCAGCCAAAGGCTTGGTTACAGATAAATGTTTTCACTTGATACTGAAGATATGTAACCAAGGTGCCAAGCAAGCCTTCCCAGGGAGTTCATTCCACAAACAGATCTACTTGCATTGCCACCTTCCAGACCTTTTGTGGAGGAGGCACACAAATGAGGGCCGCACAGCATGATCACAGGGTCTAGGTTGGCTTGTATGGGGATAGGTGGTCCTTGAGGTATTGTCCTGAGCTGTTAAGACTTTATAGTTCAAAATCCGCACTTTGGATTGGGCCTGGAAACTAATTGGCAGCTGGTGAAGTCAGGCCAGGATTGGCGTTATGTGCTCAAAACGTTTTGCCCCCGTGAGCAACTGTCCGCTGAATTCTGCACCAGCTGAAGTTTCTGAACTGTCTTCACAGGCAGCTCTGCTTAAAATGTGTTGCGGTAATCTAACCTAGAGGTTACCAGAGCATAGACAACAGAAGTTAGGCTATCCCTGATGGAAGGCACTCTGTGCCACTGAGGCTGCCTGAGCCTCAAGCGACAAAGGATCCAGAATAATTTGTAAGCTGCGTACCCACTCCTTCAGAGGGAGTGTAACCACATCAAGAACAGGCAACCTCCCACCCATGCGGTCTAGGGAACCACCCACTAGCGTGCCTCATTCTTATCTTGATTGAGCTTCAGTGTTTTGGGTCTCATCCAATCCAGGCAAGACAACAGTCCAGCATATTCACTGTGTGTCTTGCTGATGAGGTACTCTAAAACTCTGGATAACCCCACTCAGTGGTTTGGTGCTAAGCGACATACGGGATGAAATCCAATCCTGAGGAACCCCACATGGAAGGCTTCACAGGGCTGAAGAGCACTCACCAAGCATCACTCTCTGGAAATGACCAAGTAGGCCCACAATGCAGTGCCATCCATCTTTAACTTGGGCAGCTGCTTGATTAGGAGACCATGGTCAACAGTACTGAAAGCAGCGGAGAGGTTGAGGAGAATTAACGGGGGCCCATTTTCGCTGTCTTTCTCAACAGAGGTTATCATACAAGGTGATCAAAGCAGTTTCTGTGCCAAAACACCAATTGAAATGAATCTAGAAATTCAGTTTCCTCCAAGAGTGCTCCAGAACCTTACCCAAGAAGGGGAGACTGGCCATTAGCTACTTAGATTTTCTGAATCCAGGAAGGGTTTGGCACTAACAAGATAACAGAGGCAATACTTGCTAGATGTGTAATGGGACAGAGTTCCAAAGGGCAGGTTGCTTGCGCCCTAGTGGCCCAGTATGGAAGATGGTATTGACAGGAGGCCCTCTTCCGCAGAATGCAGCAATTGATGGGGTATGTCTGTTCCTGTGTATAGATGTGTGCACACTTAGCACAGATACTTCCTCTCTTGTCTATAGTAAGCAGTTTTATGCATTCCATATACAGTCTTCCAATTTTTTCAGGGTGGGGGGAACCATAGCTCTCATACCCACCTTTTCCACACCTCTCTGTCTTAGCTTCTCAAGGCTCAGCTACTCTCCCCCTGCAATGGCAATGGGCAGTTTTTGGCTCTAAAAGCAAGCATTCAGGAAGTTATAGTCCCCTGCCCAGTGAAGTCTGCTCTATTGCAGGGTTGAGGGCTGATCTCTAAACCAGGTGTGAGGAATCTTTGGCCTTTCAGATGTTGCTGAACTACAACTCCCATCATCCCTGGCCACTGGCCATGCTTTGCTGAGGCTGATGAGTTGTAGTTTAGTAACACCCCGAGGGCCAAAGGTTCCCCCACACCTCTGCTAGGGGACTGCAATCAGGAGCAGCTGTGTGCCCTGTGCC